TTTTTTTTTCAACGAGTCTATTCACTGAGTGGAAACTGTTAATAAAAGGTTCATTTTGAACACTGGTTACAGTCATTGCCTCTTACTCTGTAATTTAACTGAGAGTCTCACCTTCAGTAAAGTGACCATCTGTGTAGGTTTGCCTCTGCATCGGCACATCATCCTCCACACCATCCTCCTCGTCAGGGTTGTTGATGATGTCTAGTGCGGCCTCAATGACCTCCACCAGCTCATCCCTGCGGTCCTTGCGGACTGGTTTCTCCTCTGGGTGCCGCGTTAGCCCCATTTCCAGCTGGTACACCTTGGAAGAAGTAAAACTCTCAAACGGCACCAAGGCATACTCGCTTGGAAGGCGAGCTCCAGTGTTGACTTCAGCCTTGTCGATCTGAGAATGCAAGTACTCCAGCAAATCTCCAGGCTCTTGGTCTTTATCGGCCAGACCCGGAACTCCTGGAAGCTCTTTTTTCTCTTGGAGAACTTTCAACTTCTCGCTCATTTCCTGTAATTCCTGCTTAAGCTGGGCAATTTGCCGCTTCAGACTGGCAGCACGGTTCAGGTGGCGCTCCTCCTGTTCCTGGAGCAGGGCCTGGTAGTATTCTTTGCCATAGGTCTCCCCTGGTAAGATCAGGCTGACGTCTGCTGGTGGAGTGCACTCCAGCAGGTATGCAAACAGCAGCAACACCAGCAGCAGAAAAAGACCCAGGAAGAGCCAGCGGACCCGACCCTGAAGTGGCAATCCCCGCCTGGGCATCACGTTCTCATAAAAGCTATAGCTGACAAGCCTGCATTCCCTTCGCCCCGGACTGCTCACATTACTTAAAACAGGTTTCTGTACATCATCTTAGAGACATGGGTGTGTAGATCATTTTGGAATAAAGAGATCTTGTTCTTTGGCTCCAATGCATCAGTATTTCCACACATAGGTCCTGTATAAATCCACAAAACGATCAGCTGTTAAAAACACAGAAATCCACAATCAGAAAAAAAGCCACAATCCAGGATCCCAATACAGGGACTTTTAGATAAAAGCACTGATGACAAAACAGTAGATAATCATACAATGACATTTAATGTGTTACCTTTAAGCAACCTTTCAAATAAACCACCCTGCTATCTACAGTTTCCTTCAGTCAGTAAGTTTCTTTTGAACATTTATCCGACTTCTTCACTTCAAAGATTCCGTTTAAACCTGAGGAAGGAGGGACAGCAGGGATTAGCTACACCTGGACAGCTAACACACGCCAGCTAGCTCTCAGCCAAACAACAGCACACAAGGAAACTGGTGGGCGAGCTTCACAGCAAGCTAGCTACAAACTGACTTCCGGTGTAGCTCTTTCTCTTCAAAATAAATGCACGAGCTTTGTGCAAAGGGCTAGACCAAACACTCCAGATTCTGAGAGGTACCTTCTTGGAATGAAAGTGGACAAAACAAGTGAAACACACACAGCGTTCAAGGCCGATTTGTGATTATCTTTTGAATTACAGGCTTGGTAAATGTCACACAAGGCTCACCAGTCAAGAATCCCTGGTAAAAAAAAAAAAGGCAGCCTTCAGGAGTTTCCACGCCTAATATCGTATCAACCAGATACCATGTGCAGCAGGTTCTTGAAGGTCACACAGCTCCAAGCTTACACTTACAAAGTAACCCTGTTTTCAGGCTCTCACACCCAGATATAAATCAGTCTCTAGACAGCTATAATGAAATAGGGCTCTGAATCCAGCCAGAACTGGAACTGAGCTTGTGCTGATGTTTTAAAAGCCGTAGCTGTCAAAATACTTCTTTGTACATTTATTTCTTTAACCTTAATGCTTTCTTCTAAAATGAGATCTTGAATGTTTAACACCAAACACAGAAATATAAAATATTAATGATTCTTATTAACATTCTAAAAGGCAAAACGCAACTATGATATTAGTTTTACTACTCACACAAAGAATGTCTAACGCAAAACTGTTCTGCTGATGATGTGTGCTGATGAGAGTGCTTGTTCAGCAGTTTGCAAGGTGTGTGTGTGTGTGTGTGTTTGTGTGGGTGTGTGGGGGGTGTTAACAGCCCTTCTACAATGTGTCTTTTTGTTTTGCCTCACATACAAGCATCTTTAGTACCATCCGTCGACATGAACATAGTTTTTAACATAGTTTAAGTCAAGGACAAAGTAACACAAGACTGCCTGAAAAACAACAGAACCGAGTCATGCTAATAATGGGAGACTTTCAAACTCTAAGCTACTGGCATGGCGACAGAGAAAAGTTGGCTATATTTCCAGAAAAAAAAATTCTTAGCCTAAAACCTTTGATAATTAGATTTCTTTCCCTTGTGGCATATTTGCAAATTTCAGCACCTTTAATTCTTTTGAAATTTGCGACATTACAGGCAGCACATCCCCTTATTTCGAAAAAATTCGAACCGGACATGACTACAGTTCTGCTGCTAGCTTAGCGGTGTTCCGCGCTTCACTTCGCTTTCGGGTTTTTATTCTTACCCGTTAGAAAGCCTCTCTGTTACCCATAGTACTCCCCAAACGTTCACTCACCTAATCCCGGCTTTGTCCATTCCTGCCCCTCATTACAGCTGTCGCATTTTGTGTTAAACTAGCAGCAGTAGGTAGGTAGGTTGTGTTACAGAATGCCACGGAGCAAAGAGAAAAGAGTGGGTTGTAACCTACTTCCGGTTAAAAACTAACCAATCGGAGCGTGTCTAACGAGTGTCGTCATGAAGCACGCCGAATCTCCAGGTTCATAATATTGTTTATTCTTATTAAAATAACGACGTTATTATTATATTGTAGCTCTAAACGCATTATTGTTATTATTAGAACACATCGATGATTTTTTTACTCTCATACACACTACCGCGTCTTCCAATAACGTAACAACGTTAATCTGTTGTTTTAAAAAAAAGCTATATTTAACCTTCCCTCTAAGAGATTATTGTCTTTTCTTCCCGTTTCACTGTTCAGACCAAGAAAGCAAACCTCTTATCTCAGGTGATGAACTAGCTGACAGCTCTGGATTGAATTAGCACTGAAACATAATTTGTTTAATGTTCGAAAACAAGTGATATGATCTTAATGTGGTGCACAAAATAAGCCAGGAAATGTTCTCGTGGGATTCTGTTTATAGTCGTTATATTTTCATTTTCTTAATTATGAGAGAAGAAGACAGACGTTATCTGAAAGGCCAGAATCAGTGCGGAAAGTCTTAGTCTAAGAAACTATTTTAATAAACAAACCATTTCCTTCTTTTTTCTGATTTAATCATATGATATTTCTGTACCGTGGGTCTAACCAGTCAGTATTAGGTGTAAAAATGAAACCCTGATAAAGGAAGAGAAGTAAAGGGGGTGGTTTAATGTCACACACACACACACACACACACACATCGGGTATCTACCTAGTCATAGATTTTTAAAAAGTACAGATCTAGTTTTGTGCTTCAACTCCAACACCAAAACCTTAATCTGCTTTTCAGTATCATATATATTCACTGGGCTGGTTTGGACATCCTTTTGGGTTCAGAGCTGTCTAAACTCTTAATTTTATAAAGATTTCTCAGAGATGTTGTCCACAGTTACATAACAGCATCACGCTGCACATCCATGATGTGAATTCTCCATTTCACCACATACAAAAGGTACTCTATTGGAGTGGCATTTGGTGACTGTGAAAGTGATTTGGGTACAGTGAACTCATTGTCATGTTCAAACCAGTTTGAGATGATTTGAGCTTTGTCCTATGCTAATGTGTCCTGTTAGAAGCAGCAATTGGTAAATGTGTACACTGTGGTCAAAAAGGAATAGACATGATCAGCAGCAATAAATCGGTGGGCTGTGGTGTTTAAACAATGCTTAGTTAGTGCTCAGGGGCCCAAAGTGTCCCAAACAAATATCCCTTAAACTATTATACCACCACATCCAGACTATCCAATCTTCTATCATCCAATGGGTTCGGAAATGCTCTTCTGCATAGTGATTTGAGTTGCTGTTGTTTTCCTATCAGCTTCGAGTCATCAGCTCAAAGCATTTTTCCCAGGCCACTGCAGCTCACTGGATATGTTCTCCTTTTCAGATTATTCTCTGTAAATCTCAGAGTTGGTTGTGTGGGGAAAATCCCACTCAATTTCCTAGTTTCTGAAGTACTCAGACCAGCCACTAACCGTGCCATTTTCAAAATCACTGACAAAGTCGTCATTGTGATGCTCTGTCTGAAGGTCATCTGGACCGGGTCTACATGCTTAAATGGATTCAGTTGCTGTTATGTGATTGGCTGATTAGATACATGGGTTAACAAGTAGTTTAACAGGTGTAGCTAATGAAGTAGCAGGTGACTGTATTTGCTTACAGTCAAAAGAAACGTGAAGCAGTGTTAAAATTCAAAGAAAATAAAGTATGAGAATCCTTGCATTCCTAGGCCATCCTAAATGTTTGAGATATATATATATCTATAGATATATAGATATATCTATAGATATAGATATATATATATATCTATAGATATATAGATATATAGATATATATATATCTATAGATATAGATATATATATATCTATAGATATAGATATATAGATCTATAGATATAGATATATTAGATATAGATATCTATCTATCTATATATAGATAGATAGATAGATAGATATCTATAGATATATATATATAGATATAGATATAGATAGATATATATAGATATAGATAGATAGATATATATAGATATAGATATTATAGATATATATATATATGTATAGAATATATATATATATATATATATATATATATATATAATATATATATATATATATATATATATATATATATATATATATATATATATATATATATATATATATATATATATATAGTATATATATATGAGAGAGAGAGAGAGAGAGAGAGAGAGAGAGAGAGAGATATAGAGATATAGATATAGAGATATATATATATATTTTTTTATTATCAGATATAATAATTATTTTTTTAGAAATATAAGGGGAACAGACAAATTGCACATTTTTTAAATATTTATTAATAACTGGAACATAACAAATAATAACAACATAACAGCAAGGACACGAGTTGGTTTACAGAATCATATTTTTCCACAAAGGCTGCCATTACAGTGAAGGACAATGTGAGCTATAACATTAAGTCTACATTAATCCTCGTGTCCTTTCACTGGAGTGGCATTCAAAAGATGATGTTTTCAATGTGAAAAAACAAGAGCAAAAGTAAGAAAAACCCATTCACTGAACATGTCTGCTTTACTTTTCTTTGGTGAGACCAGTTTCAAGACATCTCGCGGGAGAAACACAAAATAAAGGGTCTTTGACATTTTGAGGAGCACAATCCTCTAAAGTAGAAACTTTTTATTTTATTTTTTAAATTTTCAGAATAAGTTCAGCATTTCATTTTTGTCCACTCAATCCCAGCTTTCTACAACAGGTGATGGTAAAGGCGTCCCCTTTAATTCCTGGGCTTGAAACTTCAAAGTCACACATGAACATTTGGAAGCTATTGTAGAAGCAGCACAGGCACTTAAAAGACATTGACACTGACATACAATCTGGTACAATAGTCATGCAGTGATACAGTTTGGCCGACATAACCAGTGAGGTAATAATAATTAACATACTGAAGAGCTGAGTGAAGCATGGTCTATGTTGGTCCAGCTGGTTTCGCAGCAAAAAGACCCCAGTCGGAAAGGTTGCTTACCCGTGCAACAGAAATAAAAGGGAACCAACTTTAGCATCAGATCGTTTATGTACAGTCTTACAGAAATATACACATCTATACCACTTAGTCGTCTTTTCTACAGGGTCGGTCTGTCTTTAGCTATCAAGCTTGTCCACAGCTTTTGCGGGTGAAGGCAAAGCCATCCAGTTTGCATAAACACTATCATTGGCATATCTTGTAAAGACCGGATTAGTGGCATCATGTCTGTTGAGCAGTACCGGGCTCGTCTCGGGCCAGTTGGGGTATGACATGCCTAAAAATGAGAACACATCATTTTTCTGCACTCAGTGAAAGAAAAACAGCGTGCAGACAGTAAGGTTCTCAAACAAAACTCTCCAAAACAAATCCTGATCTGATTCTGAGAAGTGTAAAGTTATGGCTTTGTATTGTATATGCGACACAGAATAAATGATAATATAATTTATTATTTTCCTCTTTTTTTTTGGTCATTTATTAAGCCTGCATTGTTACTATTGCCCCTACATTTCGCTCGGGGCAATATGCAACATGCTGAGAGTTGCATTCAAAAGCCTTACTGTTTCTCTGTTCATCATAATGGATTAAGAGCTAATGTACATTAGAAAGACAGGAAATTTATCACAATCTGGAATTCAAACCACAATGAGTGATTGAATCAGTGAGGACCTGTTTCAAATGTTACACACCGTTTCCTCCAGTGCAAATAAATGACGAGATGAGGACAATGTGGAAATGAATGGGGGGGAAACAAACAAAACTATTTACAAATTAAAAATGCAGATGAAGCATGAGTATGAGGAGTGGATTATAAATAAGAATGAAGGAGATTTATATTCAATATTTACAAATATAGCAATTTTTGGTCAGTGCTTGTGTACATTAGAAGCAGGTCCGAATAAAACAAAGAAAAAGTCAAGACACAGGAGCTTTTTTTTTTTT